TTTTTTTATTGAAAAAAAAATTAAGTATTTTTAATAACTTTAGCAATTAATTCTTACAATTTATTAGTTAAGTCTAATGTAAGTTAATTCCAAATATTAAAGTGTAACATAAGGACGATCATAATATTAAAATATTATCCAAAGAGCCAATAATACTTTTAACATTTTTTTTATATCCACCAAAAATTATAATTCCAAATTAAATGTGTTATTGTGAACTTTAAACGGCTTGAAAATATATATTTATTTATTAAACCCAACAATATACTATACAAAAATATTTAAAACTTTAGATAGGTAACTACTATTTGAAAACAAAAAGTCACAAAAGGCTTTAATAAAAAAAATCATTACATTAACAAAACAAAAATTGATGTGAAAAAATTAATTAGTGATTTTAGGAATTTTAATGTTGTTAGAATGCTAAAGTTGTCAATCTCCTAACCAAGACTCTCGAAAGAAAACCTTACTCCACCACAAATTGTGAATAAAAAATATAATAATTCACCAATGAATCGATGTGAAAGATAAAAACCACTAATTAATTTTCTCACACCATTTTTTTGTTAATGTAGAGATTTTTTATTAAAGCATACGATGTAATTTTTATTAATGATAAGTCTATTTTTCACATATAACATTGTATATATCCAACAGTTTGCTCCAAATGTCTTAATCTTCTAATCTAGATAATTATTTACTACAAAAAAATTTTGTAATATTAAATATACAAATAATCAATAAGTTAAAATTATTACATATGTTATCATGTTTAAATCCACACAACGCGTAGGCAATCTCTAGTTAAAAATGTTTCAAAGTGTTATAAATATAATTTATACAACTAATATATAAATCACACAAAATGAAAACAAAGAGCAACACAGACTAACCAAGAAGCAATATCACAAACATTCTCAAGGAAAAAGGAATAACAATACAATAATCGACCATCATCCTCAATGATTTGTAGTGTGATTTTAAAATCATTGATACATATTCATTACAATCATATAAATATTTTAAAATTACACATGTTCATTACTTATATTCTTCTTTTTATCCATCAATCAAATACAACTCTTCTCCGGTTTACAAAAGACATCATGATCAAAAGAGGCTGAAAACATTGGG